CTGGAAAGTTGACCTTGTCCGGCTTATGGAAGGGCTACTGTTATTATGGACTACACCGTCCTCCGAGGTCATCTGGTGAGTACTACGGGAAACGTTCTTCTTAATTCCAGTTCGAATTCGTCTGAATCAGGATTTTTGCCTATCACAACCCTTTGGATTAATCTACTGGCTCCCTAAGTCGGTAATATTATTGTGGTCCAGAGACCACTTCCGGTCATGTGTGCGCAGACAAAGTCAGCTCGGTATCTACACCTAAAGCCCTTTACCTTTCCTCAGAGCGTTATAGGCAGCTTCCCCTGCTCTTTATGTCCTTGTCCGCTCCTTCATCTTCTTTATGCCTACCTGCCTCTCTTTCCCGACTTCGCAAGCATAGGTACCACTTGAAATCTGCTAATCTGCCTAGATAGCGCTAGATGAACGATGAACATATATTTCTTCATTCATCAGAAAACCTTCGTGACTACATAAGCATCGCCTCGTCCGGTTGGATCACAGACTATGTTTACACGCAACAGGTACACGGACGACGACGGTGGAGACGGTAGATCAGGCCATCCCGTGGTCAATTCTAGCAGAACTTTAGGACAAGCGCAGTTTAAGTGGTTTCACAGCAAGCAGATTCGGTCATTGCAGAGTGTAAACTTACTCGATGGTCCAGGAAATGGTAAGATACTTGATGTAGGCGTAAATAGATCCAATCAATCAGAACATCAATCAGATACGACTAAATCAAACCACCTCTAGCATTTTCAATATAGAAAAAAGCCTGCATTATACAGGTTGGCAGTCACATTCGCGGCCACGAGTCAACATAACACACAACGCACAGACTTTGCAATGTGTTTCTTTTTTTTTCTCTCTGCTAGTCTTCAGAGTACTTTGCTAATAGACATCCTCTGTGTACATAGGTGCAAATGTTATGGATTTTTCCTAGCAACCCTTACAACCAGGCAGTCATCGCTGGCACGACTCCTCGTCCTCCCGCCGCTGTCTGCCCCAATCCCTCTCCCGGCACGTTCCAAGACCTGTATGGTAAGCACTACCTAGTGAAGGTGTGGATATACTATATCAATCATAATCACAAAAATGGCAAGATGGCCGAGCGGTCTAAGGCGCTGCACTCAAGTTTCACAGAGCTTGTTCCTGACTACAGGAATTGCATTGCAGTCTCGAAAGGGGCGTGGGTTCGAATCCCACTCTTGTCACGATTTTTTTCATCCTTTATTGCTTTTGTGATCGATTTTCCGATCGATTTGACAGTCATGCGAGTGAATCAACTTTTGATTGAATGCCAATTCGAAGTTCTTCAAATATGGCTAACTTGACCGGCCTTGAAACACTATTACTCCATGACCTATTGAAAAGCAACCACGCAATGACCTTATTCAACGCCTCACATCCCCACGGTCAGGTCAATATCAAATACCAGAGTCGGAGGATTGCTTTCATGACTCATGCAAGTTCCTGGAACGAGGAGATAAATCGATTTGGGGTGAAGGCATTGCCCCCTTTAGACGTTAGTCTTTATCTGGGATCTGGAAGCAGCAGCAATGTATGACAACGCGTCTACTTGCTTATCACAGGGGCAGTGAAGATGGCAATACCATTGTGCACGGGCACCCTCTATGTTATAGTCTGGCGATATGGCCTACCTCCGTTCTAGCAAATGATTGGAAAACGTGCACCTGCTGGATACAAGCCCGCCAGTCGACATATCACACGCCTGTCGTCGTTTCCACATCAAAGTCTACGCGTCGGGGGCATTATTCAAAAGTGGACTAGGGTCCAAGGCGGGAGCAAATTTCATGCGTGAACCGCAGCTTGGAGACGCTATCCAATGCCCCATGTTTGCGTGAACGGGGTGCAGCTACCAAATTAGATAAGCAGCCAGTTGTCCACGCGATATAATGGAACCGCTGGGATTTCGATGTCTCTGGGTTCCCAGGCCGCGTAAGTGACACTCACGAATTGCCGATTACGGCCCAACAAGCTTTTGGCTCTCATCAAGTAAGCCAATGAGGCGAAAGTCGACGGCCGGCTGGCCCAAGAAGTTCCACTCTGATTGCATCTTCAAACCGGCAGGTGCAAGAATTTTCCCCTCCAGGGCCTCTCGAGGAACCACGAAAGTAAAAGGAAAGAAAATCTGGAAGGAGCTTTTGCTGGTTTCCTACTAAATAGACGGGTATCTCTTCCATGCATGGGACTACGGCCCGCCCCGATTGCTCTAACCTTCTGATTCCTGACAAGGTAGCAACAGGGTTTTTCCTTTGACCTGCCAGATACCTGCCTCATAAGCGGCGATTTAAAAATGTCTAAATTGCCCTTTTCTTGCGAGTTTCGGTCTTGAATGCAGTCATAGCTTGCTGCGCCCTTCAGCAGAACCGGCCACATATCTCGCCTCTCAAAACTCTCTCGGGCGTATTAGTGGCCATCGGCTTGTCGAGTCGTCTATATCTGGGGGCGGCTTGCATCCACGGGACGGCAATAGTTATCGACTTAACTTGTTCTCGAGCTGAAGTTCTGACTTATCTAGACGTTGAACTGGCTAGCGACTTCTGTTCATCATCAAACATCTTTTACACCACTACGATAATGCCAGATAGTATATCTACACATACTGAGCGTGAGGGAAACCCCTTCAGCCGTGCGAACCCCTCCCGGCGCGGTCTTCGCATCGAAATCAAGCTTGAGGATGAAAAGTCTGTCAACTCTTTTACTACGCTTGACGCCATTAAGGGCGCCGTCATCGTGACACCCGATGCGACAACCTCTGTTGACGGGTTATTAATTTCTTTCGAGGGTAAATACTTGATAACTCAGGAGGTTATTTTTTGCAGGTAAAAGGAGCAGGGATCGCTGATAAAAAGACGTTTGACAGGATCTTCGCGTACATCTATAGAGCAACCGAGCGTCGTTGCTCCTCCTGTCGGCAGATCTACAGCTTTCCACACCTTTCTGCGTCTTGTGCAGCCCCTTAAGAAGTCTCAATATCCAGAGGGTGGCATATTTGAAAAGGACGAGACATACACCTTTCCTTTCACATTTGTCGTCCCTGAATATCTTCTACCTCAAGCCTGTGCACATGAACACAGTGTTCCACAGGTTCATGAAGCTCATACTCACCTCCCACCCTCACTCGGGGATCCTACCGTCTCTGGCAATGGACGAATCCTCTTGGACGATTTATCTCCCGATACTTGCCATATCCAGTACGTCATACGAGTGCAGTTTCTCAGGAGCTCCGGGCGATCCGATAGGCATCCCTGGGTTTATAATGACGGTTCGCTTAATCGACACGTCAAAGTCGTTGCGACCGCGAATAAGAGAGTTCGCGTTGTGCCGGCCACCGATGAGGAGCCACCACTGGTAACGGAAGCTTCATTAGAAACTGAGTATTGCTTGCAAAAAGAGAAGGAGATTAAAAAGGGTGCGTTGCGGGGGAGGTCAGGATGCATAGTCATGGCTGCAGCGCAGCCTCGTGCATTCAAAATCAAAAACGTCGTTCAAGGCGATGAACCGCCATCGACCGTCGTCACAGTTCATCTGCGATTTGATCCTGCGGAAGCGAAACAAAAGCCTCCGAAGCTCGGCATGCTTTCTGCTCGTTTAAAGGTCAACACATTCTACTCAGCTTTGCCCTGGACAACCTACCCAGAGAAAACGTTTTCCTTGAGATGGGACACGAAGAGAGGCGTTTACACTGAGACAGTACCTTTGGCATCAATGCGCGTCGCTAATGCCGAGTGGGAAAGGCACGAACCGGTTGTTCCTAATCGATCACAGTGGGCTACACGTCGCAATACCGGGGGTAGTCTTGTTAGACCTAACATGAGACGGTCATTTTCTGCCGGGTCTGCTATGTCTAGCGAGACAGAGACAAGCTCAGTGACCTCTGCCCCTGAGGATACTTCCCTGCGCGCTGGGATTCCCAGCCCTGCTTCCAAGGCCGATCCATCTCTCCCGTACTACACTGCCTCCATCGTTGTTCCTCTTGTTCTCTCTGAGAAGTCAAAAACGTTTCTCCCAACCTTCCATTCGTGCCTAACGTCGCGCACGTACGTTCTTGACTTAGCCGTCTCATATCATCCACTGAGCAAGACTAGTACCACGATTTTGAATGCTCCTAGCATTTCGCTGAAAGTGCCGGTACAGATTACCACGGAGAGATCGTTGACCGAGCTTTCTGAAATGAGCGCCCGTGATCGTGAAACTGCCAGAGAAAGCAGGGCAGCCGCTAGGGAAGCACGAAGGCAGCGTGTTTCGCATAGAGCCTCGCGACATGGTGCTGTTGTTGCTCCTCCAAGCGATGTGGAAGAGTTCTTCGTGCCTCGGCCTGTTGGGCCTGTGGCTGCTCTTCAGACTCATACCAATGCTTATGCTCCAGCCCTTGCTAGAGGTCCGTCTTCAGCGGGAGCACGGCCAGCGTACCGGTCCGACAGTATAAGAGGTCGTCGCCCTACGGTTTCCGAGGCTCCGTTGTCTCCTCTGGCCGACACTACACCATCATTCGACCCAACCACTCCATTCGATCCGACAGGTTCATTACGTTCCCGTCGAAATAGGGCGAACACGGTTTCCTCAACCATGTCGGGACGTTCCGATCGTTCAGACGTTTCTCAGCAGTCAAATGCATCAACGCTTCCCCCAGAATACAGCAATCGTCCTGATACGCTGGTAAGACGTATATTGAGTCAAAGGGTATCTTCGACTCGGTCATGACGCCTTCCTCCAAAAGTCCTCTCATTCCGCGCTGCCAAGTCTTTATTTCGATGATGTTGCCATTGTTATTCTCGGCTCTGTCTACTCTCCCATACTATATTTTCATATACCCCTTGTCACCGCTGCTCTTCGCTTTGTCGCAAATTGTTTAGATACCCGATCCTGCCTTGTTTCGATGTATGTTGTTGTAATAATAATAAAGAGATATACAATGGACCTACGCCATTTTCACCCAAGAGAAGACTTATCGTATACTCCAGTCATCTCCACTCGACGTATCGACAGAATCATTGTTCGAGCAGTCACTGTTCACCAACGAGTCAAGTATCGGCGTTAGAAAATGATTCGGTCGTTCGACGAAAGCAAAATGCCATGACTACATGAGCCGTGACCGTGACCGTGACCGTGACCCAACATTTACACTATGAAAGGTTGCGCCTTCCTTCCTCCGTCGAACAGCCATTCTTCGCTGTAGTTGTTGCTGTTACTTGTCACCGGTCAGAGAACCAAACAAAAGACAGGAGAAAAGATCTAGGCTCTGGCGATCTGTCAAGCTCCCTTCGGACCGTACTCTGGGGTATGATGCATCTCAAAGCTACAATCTGGACTCAAATGATGTTTGATATTTCGCAGATCAAGTGAACATATGCGAATTTTTCTTCCAAGCACAATATAATTGATTGTGTCGCTTCGTCACATCTCAGGGGACGCTGTACATAACTCAGTTCAACCAAGTATGATCTCGAATGATTATTATGGGAGGGCATCAGATATATAACGCTGAGGGTGTACTCTTCAAAACGTGCAAAGTGCAGCGAATTTGAAAATACCCTCTCGCCAGTAACAGGGCGACGAAGAGAGAGATCTTCTTGGACAGTCACCTACAGCCACCATGAAGATGTTCCTTTCGATTCAGCACCGCCTGCTGATGATTATAAGCGTTGCGGTTCTGTTCATTGGTGCAGAGCTCACCGTCGGCTTCCAAACACATTCCCTAGCGGTGGTAGCAGATGCCTTCCATTACCTTGGAGATCTCATCACCTTTGCGGTGTCCTATATCGTCGAAAGAGTAAGCCAAAGACCGTGGTGTTGCTTTTGAAGGTTCTGAATGGACAATTGACGAGATGCCCGCCATATCTGAAGACAGTTTCCAAGAAAAGAAATACCTGCAGAGTCGACTTCACGTCTGAGTCATCCGACGATGAAGCGTGGTGGGAACAACCCTCAATCGAACGCATTGATGCATTGGCCGGATTCTTCAATGGCTCGTTCCTATTTGCATTGGGAATGGGAATCATGCTCCAAGGGGTTGAAAGATTCGTGCAACCGGAGGGTGAGCACGTTTCACCTAGGAGGTCCTGGAAATCAGCGGCTAACTTGTTCCAACCACAGAGCTCGTCAATCCCATGATGGTCATGATCATGGGGTGCGCAGGGTTGGGTATGAACATCATAGCCGTTCTAATGCTTGGAGGGCATCATCACAG